AATATATATATATATTTCTATCTTTCTAACTTTTTTTTTTTTACATGATTTCCCAAAAATGTCAGATATGTGTTAAATATAAGCTATTTTTTGCTTTTCTTTTTTTTAGCTGAACTGATTAAAAAAATATATTTTAGTTGTTTTTTTTTTATTCACAAAATAAATTGACTCCAATTATATCTATTATAATTAGATCAGAAAAAAATATCTATTTTTTGGGGAAAAATTTTTTTATATATATTTTTCCAAAAACATCAGCAACACATTAAAAATATGTTTATTCTCTTTTTACATGTTTTTTCCTTAATTTTAAAACCTAAAATTTTAAAATCAAAGTCAATTCAAGTTCTTTAAAAAAGACAAGTTATCTTTTGTTATCTTTTTCTATTATGTAAAATAAGTCATACAATGTTTTGCAGCTCTAATTGAGTTTTATTAGCCTGACTGAGGTCAAAAATGGCTCTTGGGATTGTAAAGGTTGCAGAGACCTGCTTTTGACAATAAAACTGTTTTTCTTCATTATTATTTTTTCCACAATTCATCCCTTCAAAATAGAAAGCAGGCCATAACAGTGCTTTAATTTGCCACATGGCTTTCAGGATATAATATTAGGCAGAATACCCTTTTTCTTCACTAAAATAGTCTTTTCCATCTAGTTAAATTCTGTTAAGTTTGGTGAAACCTTTAGTTTTGTATTACTTAATAAATCTATTTTGCAACTAAATAATGTTAATTTTATGTATTCTAAAAAAAAAACATTATGTTAATATTTAACAGTGAAACAAGACAGATGATAAATCCTATTTATGTAATGCAATCTAATGCATTTAAATTAATTTACCGTTTCCTTTGTTTTATTTATTATGATTCAAGTGTATAACACTAGGATATAATATTATTTTCCATTTTTAAATTCTTTTTCTCTAAAATCGTAAGCTTTTGATTCTATTCTTTTTAGAATAACAATAGAAATCAGAGGCTGACAGCAGCTGGTTCATTAGTCCGCCTCACTGCTCTGCTTTGCAGCCTGCAGACATATGCACATCGCTTCCAACAGTGATTTCTAAATAGGTGGTACTTATAAACATGGGAGTGAAGGGGCACACTGTAACCAGTCATTATCATTCTGCAGCTGAAGTAAAAAAAAAAACAAATAGGCGTTCTTTCCTTCTTACTCGAGCGAGTTGAGTTGTCGCAGCCAGCTCCTCATTCCCATCGGATAATCCCCGCTGCCAAAGATGGGCTCGGCCAACCAGCCAACGTTAAAATCTAAAACCCTTTTAGCCGGCTCCACGTCCTCACGGCTGAAGGAAAAGGCCGGCTCTACCCAGTCCATGTGAAGAGCCAGAGACACCTGTGACGAAAGGAGCCATTGTAGCACATTTGTTCCTCCTTACTTTAGAAAAAAAAGATTTTAGGGTTTTTAATTAAAATCAGTTATTCCACAGATGAGTTTTATTGACCTTTCCTCCTTGTGTGCGTCTAAACTCTCGGTCGTACACATGCCAGGCCAACGCGTGTGCCCGCAGCATCTGGTGGCCCTCCTGATAGTTCACCATCTTATCATTGGGTTCATTCAGGGTGATCCACATCTTAACATGGGTCCCCAGTTCTCTGTAACAAAGCCTGGCATAGTCTGCAAAGGCCTCAGGAGTCTTTCTAAGAAAAAACACAACATTAACGAGGTAGATAACACATCTACAGGTGTATTTTAAAATTAGTCTTAACAAATGAAGAGTTTCTAGTTTTATGCAGCACAACAGGAGTCACATAAAGCCTTTTTATTAGCATATAGTTTAGAAATTTCAGCATCTAAGAAAGAAACCAACAAATTGTTATAGAATAATAATCACAAATAGACAATTCAAGCTGTTACTACGCTGCAATGTCCTGTTTCCACACTGCTTATGGAGAAATATTCCTGTATATTTCTCGCAACATAAGATATCAAACATAACATAAACTATATTTTGATAAAAATCTGATTTTGTGACAAATGCATGCCCATTGCTCACTCTTCAAGGTAAAAGTATAGTTAGATAGATGCGCATGACACAGTTTTTTAAAAATATCTGCAGGGCATTAAGTGAGAACATGTCCTACCGGTTGAGCCATCTGTTGGCAGTGTCCAGAGGGGGGGGCAGGCTGCTGCGTTCGTGGGTGTGGTGCCAAAGGGTGACCACCGGTGTGACGTTGGCCTGCAGCAGCTGCTGTGTGAAGCAACGGTAATATCCCAGCAGGGTGCTGTTAGGATAAGCCACGTCACCAGTAGGCACCAGAGCAGACCAGTTGAGGGAAAAGTGGAAGTGGTTTACCCCCACCTGCCGGATTTCATCCACCTGGAAAAAGGTGAAAGGGAGAAAAAAAAAAAGGATGAATGTTTGTGTAGTTATTATGAAGCGATTAGAACTATAAGGCAAACTTTCTCCACATTTTTCACATGAATTATCAAACTTTTAGATCATGGAAGGGGATAATAACGCTGATATTTATCAATACTTTATTTGTTTACTTCCTTATTACTGACTTATTATTAAGGCTGTGGTCACACACTGTTTATAGTTTTTTGTTGTTATTTTTTAAGTCGGAAAGTGGTTGTATTAAAGGTATTTATTGCAGCTGGTAACTAAAACATATCCAGGATTAAAGGACTAATGTCTCAGCATGATCTGGAAAAACTAATCCATGCGTTTATTTTTAGTGGAATTGATTACTGCAACAGTATGTTTGCCTAAAAAGTCCATCGGAGAGCTTGTGCCCTTGTTCTCACTAAAACTAAGAGGGTAGAACACATCAGCCATGTTCTGATGTCCTTCCACTGGCTCTCTGTAGGAAAAGCAGCATTTAGTTCCTATGCTCCACTTATCTGGAATAAACTCCCAGAAGACTGTAAAATTCTGCAAATCTGAGCTCTTTTGTGTCAAATTTAAAACCCATTTGCTTAGAGTTGCCTTTGACTTTTAAAATGAAACTGCTAACTGAGGTATTATTAGTTTAAGGTTGTGATCCATCTGTTCTATTTTCTTCTCTACCTGTTTTTATCATGTTTTTTTTTTTATTCTGCTATTTTTGTGGTCTAATTGTTTTGTTTAAAAATGTTTTTGCTTTTATTTTTCTGATATTTTATTATCTAATTTTTGTCAAGCACTTTGAATTATCCATGTACTGAATTGTGCTATTCAAATAAAATTGCCTTGCCTAAAATGTATTGATCATACAAACTAAGAAAGAAAACAAATGACTGTATTAATCTAACATTCATGACTTTATGCAGTTACTGTAGGACTCAGTCAGAAAGCCTGTCTCAGGCATGCAGGACTCTGAATCCATCACATGTTTGGCAGGCGGACCTGTTGTCGGATGGTGGCGTAATCGGCACAGTGCGTGGCTCGGTGTAAAGGTGGCGCACTGAAGCCCTCCAGTTTGATTAGCTCGCCGTTGTTGGAGATGTTCCACAGGTAAATATTGGGGTCTGCAAACTGGGTGGGAGTGGTCTCCACCTACGGGCACAAAGACAAACAAATACTAGTACAAACACGCACATGCTTACACACCACTACAGCAAAGAAGCCGAACGGGACCAATCGATGACGGACAGCTGGTCAGGGGTTGCTCAGCTGAACGGCTAAATTGTAACCGGAGGTTTATGATTGAGAGAAGAAGTTTTCTCTGCATCTCAGCGAAACTTTAAACCATTAAAACTACATTCTAAAAGAAGTAGGACAGACTGCTGCAGATTTCAATCTCTATTTGTGTAAAAAACTAAATATTTTTTAATGTATTTTGTAGATTAACCTCCTACGTAAGAGCATATGACAAGGATTATGTTGATTTAAAGAGTTACAGTCTTGGAGCTTTACAAAATATGCTAACTTTGAACCCAGCTTAGTTAATTTTTATCAAAGTTCTATTTTTGGATATGTGTTCTCGTCCTTCTTTATTATTAATGAGATCACTGATTACTGGCCTGATCATTCCCCTAACATCCTTACACAAATAAATATCAGACATTTAAACACACCTGGATGGAATTAGCAGAGACGCCCCATGCAAAATCACATGGGAACACTCCCTGAGCTGGTCTGTTCTCTGGAAGTTCAGGGAATCCGTTCTTATGGATGACATTTCTGTAAACATGGTGACAAAAATCAGAATGGTGAAAATTTGCAAATGATTAATTAGGTTTTTTTCTTTTACGCTGAATTTAAATAAACAGATTTCAACTAGTTTTTAATTAAGTCAGCTATTTAAACCTTTTCTATCAAAGGAAAACCGGCTGATTGCATCGAATCAAAGACTTAGCACGACTCTCCTGGATGAGTATGTAGAGACTTGCATTTTCTCAGAGACTCTACAGCAATCTCTCACCCTAAGCATGCATGCAGCGACAGTAGAAAGGAAAAACTCCCTTTTAGAAACAAAGACAGAAAGAAACCTCCAGCAGCACCAGGCTCAGTGTGAGCGTCCTTCTGCTCAGACTGACTGGGTTGCTTTTATCTCTGATATGAAAAATGTATACAAAGATCTGAAACATTAAGTTTAAAAAAAAAGGAAAAAGAGAATAAATCTATAAAGAGACAATTAGGTTGTTTTTGTTTTACCGCACTGCAGGCTAGGCTACCTGTAGAAGGTGGCCGATGTCTTTGGCTCCCTCTTCATGTCAGGAGTGTTGAAGTCCACATAGTACAGTCCACGTCGAATCCCATATTCTCTGTGCCACTCAAAGCCATCAATAAGAGACCAGGCTGTGTATCCAATAAGATTCACTCCATCTAGGATGATTGCTGGGCAACAAACACATTAGACAGAGTAGGGTTTAGCTTGACCTCAATTATATAAGATTGAGGAAAAAAAACGTTTGTTTTCTCACTCTTATCAGGACACAGGGACTCACATTTCAGAGCCTCTGCAATGAACCTCTTGAGGTAGTACATGTGTTTTGGGTCTTCTGTCTTAGTGTTCCCAAGGACAAACCTGTCTCAATAGAAAGAACATAAACAGAGTGGCCCCAAGGTATTTACAAACTAAGCTGCTGCTTGGGGCCCCTCAACCATGAAGGGCCAAGAAATACTTGAAATTTTCTTTTAAGATCAGAATAAAAGAATTATCATATTAAATATGACAGTCTCAGCATTGGCCAAATAAAACTGTTTAAGAATGTTGAATTTGAAGTTTAAGATTTAAAAATAGTTTAAAGTTTGGTTTCCGAAAAGGCAAATGAGAATCAAAACAGTTTTTTTGGTTTTCTTTAACCACAATAACACAATTTGTTCCTAAATACATTTACCAAATAACCAACTTTATATATATAATTTTTTTTTAATTCAGTTTAGACCAAAGATTATACCAAATCTGTGCTGAGAGGTGTAAGTGGTGTTGATGGTCTTAAATGCCCTGATTAAGAAATAAATAAGTCCATAAAGAGTCAGGACATACCAGCCGCTCTGCACCACAAAGATGGGTGGCTTGTCGTACTCTGCGTTGACCCAGTAGAGCAGCATCCTCAGGTCCAGATCCTCAAGCTGCCCGAACTTTAGGCTGTCGTTGAGCTGGAAGCTGAGCGTTGCTCCATGAGAGAGGGCAAAGAAATCAGCAGTTCCTCTCACCTGCTCGCGTTCCTCTTGGGTGAAGGAGGGCAAACGTGAACCGAGCCTCTCCCTCATGCAGGGAGGGTAGTCTCCATCTACGAACAATGGCCGGGCAAACCAACCCAGGACGTGGTCCAGGGAGCACTGACATTCTCGCAGGCTCTCCAGGCGGGTGCGGCTGGGCTTGATCCAGTGGGAGGCCAGCGCCATGGAGAGCTTTCCCTGCTGCCGGGGCCGATAGTGGCGGTTGTAGAGGTGCCACGTAGCTGCATGTGCCTGGATGACAGGGAGACAGCAACATGAGAAAAGACCATATTCATAGGGGTGGCCATGTGGGGACCAATGTGCACCGAGGGTCAGCTGGAAATACCAAATAAATTCACCATGACAGTCTAGATTTTTTATATAGCTAAAAAATCTACAAACATATTTATACATCTACATCGTCTAAATTTGTTATGGTCATTGGACATTGGATGGGTGGAGACTACTTGATGACTGCAGAGACACTAAATGCTTGCTTCTTCCCCATAAAGCACAAAAACTAGTCCTGAAAAAGCAGAAATTCTGTTAATGTACTATTTAACATTATATGTAAATCTTTAAATTACTACTGTCATTTTGTTTTCAGTTCCTTATTAATATACTAAATGAAAAATCAATTTAGTTAGACCACTCCACCTAAGAGTACCAAAGCTGCCACCCTCTGTTTTAGAGGTGAACTGGTTGTTCTGGAGGTTGTAAAGTATGGTGCAGTGGGAAAAAAAAAACAATCAACTGGTGGGGGTGGCCCCAAGCCAAGCAGGGGACACCCCTGGCCCCCCTTCTAGAGACATCGCTGACGAAACAACAAACTAGTGTTTTATGTCTGAAATAATTACAATAGTAAATGTCCCTTTTGGATGCTGGCAAATTAAAAGAGAAAAAAAGTTCTGCCTCATAAAAAAAAATGACATTCCTTTCCACACTTTGTCATTTTACACCCAATTGCTATTCCCCTTAGACATAAAAATATTGTCTCTTATTTCCCTCCTACTGTCCTTCCCTGGTCAATTGGGGTGAAGGGGCTTGTTTTGACAGAATTCCAGCTACGGTAAGTTAAAATACTTTTTTTTTATTTTAAATTGATAAATTGAAAGGTTGTTTTTTTTTTTAAGTTGAACAAAACTGCTTTACATTTTACAACTTTGTTTGGAAAAAGAGGAGTTAAATACACATTTATGTTTGATGTTTTTTTTTACCCTCTTATTATATGCTCCACATTACAGTTACAAAATATTTGGGAAAATTCAGATGCTGCACATTAAAGTTTCAGATTCCAACAAGATCCATGTGAAAACGTGCAAGAGAATACATTTTAATACACTGCAGCTATGCTGTGTTAGCAGCATATATAGATTAATAGAAAACAAAGAATTGAACAAAAATGTATAAAGAAAGATGCTTAGTAAGATACTTGTGGGCATAGACGGTTCTAGACAGGGGAAAACAGTAAAACTGGTCCTGAAGTCATACACTATAAAAATTTAAATATATGTAGATTTCTCTTAAATTGTTCTATTTTCCCTTTAATTGAGCAGGCAGGTAAGAAAGTTTACAAATGAATAAGACGATTAAAATAAAACAACATCTCCATTATCTAAGTGGATAATATGTAATTGTCTTATTTTAAGGGTAAAAATCCTAATTTCTTTGGCAGTTCATACATTTTTAAAATTGCTATTTTAATTTTTCTGTTTTTTTAGATTAGTTTTTGCAGTTTAATACCAAGATAAGCATACACGCGGATAGCAGAGACTGTCCTGCAAAAAGTGTCCATGTAAGCAAGTTTCCCAATCTTGGATCTAGACAAAGTTTTTTTGATGTTGTACTGAGATTGATATGCTTTTTGTTTTGACAATCTATATCATGATTTTAAGACGTCCTGCAAAGTGCAATTGTGTCACTACATTTGCAGATTATTGCACTTATTTTGACTAGAATCTTCTTAAAAGAAGGTTACTAATCTAGATGGACAGTTTTTTTGGTAACCGATTCATCCCTTGGACAAATTTAATCATTCATCTTTGCAAATTATTTGAACAATTATTTACAAATTTAAAAGTAAAAATCCAGCTAGTAAAGGTTAGACCTGTCCTTTCATGTCAACAGTAATCTTTGTAACCGCTGGGCTGGATTACTGTAATGCACTTTATAAGGGTATCAGTGATTCATGCATTTCCCAGCTTCAGAGGGTGCAGAATGTTGCTGCATGTCTTTTAACAGGTACAAGAAAATTTTACCACATTTCCCCTATTTCGGCCTCATTACAATGGCTGCTAATACATTTTAGGATTGATTTCAAAATCCTTTAATTTGCTTTTAATGCTCTTAATGGTTTGCCCCGCCTTACCTGTCTGAGCTGCTTCATCCCTACACACCCTCTAGCTGCTTTAGATCAGCTGACCAGTTGTTACTGAGGGTGCCAAAGACAAAAAGAGGCTCAGAAGAGACCATGCTTTTTCTGTTGCCGCCCCTAAGCTGTGGGATCATCTTCCCTTGGCCAGTAGACTGGCCTATTCACTTTCTGATTTTAAATTTATTTTTTTCTTGGCTTTTGACACAAACTGAGATGCTGACTTTGTTTAATGTTTCTTTTATTACTCTATTATTGCTTTTTATTGTATTACTACTTTTAATGATTGATTATTTGTATTTTATGACTGTGTATAGCACTTTGGTCCTGTTGGGTGTTGAAAAAGCTTTATAAATAAATTTGGTACGCTCACCTCAGTCACCTTTAAAGGAATAGTACACCCAAAACATGATTAGCCTTCATTTTCTACTCACCCCCATGCTGAACAACACTCTGGAGTACTTTTTTGATATCTCAAATGCATCTGGAGATCTGGGAGGCTTCTTGCTGTCTGCTGACATTCAAATAATGGAGGTCTATGGTGACCGAGACAGAAAGGTCCATAAAAGTCCAAAAAAACGTGTCAATATTCCTCCATACTGCTCGTCCAATGTATTCCAAGTGTCCTGAGTGGGTAGCATCCAGAATTTACTCGAAACGAAGTCATTTAGAATGTTTTTAGAGCATAAACAGTAGTGTATAGGATTTCCTGAAAGCGCGCACATGCGCGTTCACGACGCTACGGAAGCCGGCAGACCAAACCAGATGAAAGTGCGCATTCAGCGTCTGCTCTGCCGATAATGCAAGCGTAGAAGAACAAATGTGCTGTTTACCTGTGCAAAGAAAGAAACAACGAAAGAAAAATGTCTGAGGACTTCAGTGTTGAGGAAGAGCATGAGTTCTTTGCCGAGCTGAATGCGCTGGTTTGGTCTGCCGGCTTCCGTAGCGTCGTGAACGCGCATGTGCGCGCTTTCAGGAAATCCTATACACTACTGTTTATGCTCTAAAAACATTCTAAATGACTTTGTTTCGAGTAAATTCTGGATGCTACCCACTCAGGACACTTGGAATACATTGGACGAGCAGTATGGAGGAATATTGAAATGTTTTTTGTGGACTTTTATGGGCCTTTCTGTCTCGGGCACCAGACACCTCCATTATTTGAATGTCAGCAGACAGCAAGAAGCCTCCCAGATCTCCAGATGCATTTGAGATATCAAAAAAGTACTCCAGAGTGTTGTTCAGCATGGGGGTGAGTAGAAAATGAAGGCTAATCATGTTTTGGGTGTACTATTCCTTTAAGCTTTAGCCATATTATGATACAACAGTTTTTATCTTTTAGATGAGAAGTCTACAACTGTGGCTTTTAGGTTCACTAAATATACTTTTTTTGTTGTGTTTGTTTTGATTTTTATGGTGCGCCCCAAAGAAAAAAAGCCGGCTCCACCCTGAGCCCCCTGGTAAATTTGATCTGGATCCGCCTCTGTAGGAAGGTTTTAAGGTAATTTCTTGAACAGCACCATGATGTGAGAGCAGTTATTATACTGGGTGAATCTTTAACAGCTCACATCTTTACCTTCTTCCACAGGAAATGTCTGACTAAGCATCAATGTCCCCAGAATAAATAAGCATACATTTCTCAATAAAAGAAAATACTGAACTTTCAAGTTTAAACAAATTACATACAAATAGAAATGTATAGTAAACTACATTACTTGATATGTACAAGTGTATGAATGTGGATTTTGGCCTGATGTGCTTGTGTAAGTGCGTATATGTTCAGTTAAATACATGTATGTATGTAGATGTATACATTTATATATGTATATAATTGTATATATATGTGTATATTTTTTTGTGTGTGAATATTCGATAAAAAATAAGTTTAACAAGGTTACTCTACTTTAAGTTAATTTAATTGCAATTAGAGGGAGAGGGGGTATATAAAATAAGTTTTACTTCTTCATACCCCTTTTCAGACAATTTCTCATTAATCGATATCACTTCTCTGACTGTATATACCGACAGGTTTATTTGGTGGAGGGTTTTGTTACTATTTATGTTCAGCTTAATTTAGGTAGTTTGGAAATTGGTGTTTGGTTTGGTTGATGTTAACTAGTCTCTTTTGTGTGTATTTGGTTAATTCATTTATTGTTGTTTGTCAAATGTTCTGTCTGAAATAAATTCCTATTCATTAATTCGTTCATTAATACATTTTCATACCTATGGTGGTAAGTAGGTTTAAATTAAACTTTGAAGGAGTTTTATTCAAAATCCTAAAATGATTCTTGTAGAGAATCTAAGGAGAGATTAAGATTAGGGTGATGGCAAAGAGGTTCTTCATCCACAAAATATTGGAGCCAAACATGAATCCTTACATGCATGGGCGGTTCTAGACAGGGTCTAACGGGGGCCAGTGTCCCTGTAGATCATTCCTGGCCCCTGTAATGGACCCTGTACTGAAGACATAATACTCAAAGAAATTCTAAAGATGATATGAGCTGGAACAGACATGGTTACTGATAGGTGCTTCTATTTCATTTTTTTCTTTACAATTTCTGTCTTTTTCTATTTAATTAAAAGCAATAAGGTGATAGCTTCAGTGCTATTGAGATAGGATCCCAGTTTTCATTTACAAAATTATTATTATTTTTTTTTTCAAATTAATTGCTCTAATTTTTACAGATGAATTTATCTTGAGTTAAATTTTTCTTGAGTTCTAATTCAGACTTTATAGAACATTTTTAACTTAAATTATGCCAGAAATATATTAAAGTCCTAAATTATGAATGTATATTGACCTAATAAGGCATAGAACTTTAATTTAACCTAATTGAATAGAAATTTCAATTCATGCAGCTCTTTTAATATATTTGAATCCCTCGCCCTGTTTTTATTTTTATTTTCTATTTCATGCTTTTCTGGGCCCCCATGAAAAGACGCTGGCCCCCTCCTTTCCCCCTGGTACAGTTGGTCTAGAACCTCCACTGCTTACATGGAAACTGCTGGTCAAAAAATAAACGTATTCAGTATATGTTCAAAATTAAAGGGAATAATTTGGGAATCAATTTTCTACAACTAGGCTTTTTGTTTTAGTGTCATATTATAGAATAGTTAATCATTTTCACTTTAAATATTTCTAAATAAAAGTTTTCATTCCTCCTTTTTATTGTTTTCATACATCTCACCTCACTTCCAACCTGAAATAAACTTCTTGAATAAATTGAAATGTTTTTAAACCTCACAGGAATAAATGTAAAGATGTGAAACCAGCACTTTGGTCAAACCTTGAGTAAATTGTGTCCAACCCGAAACGGCAGATCTGGGTCGTTCTTGATGCCGGGAGCGATCACCCCGGTTCCGTATCCATGCTGCGCCACCACGAACGGGTTATCGATGCTGATCCAGTATTTCACGTCATCCCCGAACTCCTGGAAGCAGAAATCCGCGTAGTCCTTAAAGATGTGGACCAGCTGCGGGTTGCTCCAGCCACCCAGGCTCTGCTGCAGGTGTTCGGGCAGATCCCAGTGGTACAGGGTGACCACCGGCTGGACGCGGATCTCCTTCAGCTTCTTGATCAGCGTCCGGTAGTAGTTGGTGCCGATCTCGTTGTAGCTCCCGCGCGTCCCGTTGGGGAATATCCTGGACCAGGACAGGGAGAACCTGTAGTGGCTGACCCCGAGCTGCCGGATGGCCCGGATGTCTGCGTGGATGTTATGGTAGCTGTCGCTGCCCACGTCTCCAGTGGCCATGCGGTTACCGCCGCGCGTAAAAGTGTCCCAGATGGAGAGCCCTTTGCCGTCCTTCTCAAACGCCCCCTCCACCTGGTAGGCAGCGGTGCCCACCGCCCATATGAAGTCCTGGGGGAAGGTTCTGTAGAGGAAAGCCTTGTCACCGGGGTAGGGGAGCTTACTAAAGCGGCCCCAGGTCTTTAACCCAGCCTGGGGCTTCGCGGCTGCAGAGCTGAGGGCGAGAAATGTCAAAAGGGCCAAATGCCCCCCCATGATTCCTGATAAAGCTGACCCTCACTCAGCCATGCTGGGGGAGTCAAACTGAACTGCGCACTAAGCAGCCAGTCAGCTGTGAACTCTTGCATGCCTCTCCAAAATCTGTCAATTATTAGCCAGGGCACCTGACGCACGAAGGCTGCTGAGGGCCCAACATGATTAATGCACATCAGCGACCATTAAAGACCTTAATCTGATAGATTTCTTCCGAAAGTATTATTCTAACTCAATTAAATCATTATTTCACACATTAGAATGAAAGACCCCAGGTGGAGATCCTTAGTAAACAGCAGCATCAGGTTACAGCCTCAGCTGGCAGATTATCTCTAACTGTATCCTGATGCAACATAAAGAGGAAAGCTATCTACATTTGGATCACAGGACCAAGTTCAGCCAGGAAGAGGGGGCAGTTCAGCAAGTGCATCCTGCTGCACCATCCTCACTGCACTGTCTTATCTCTCCCTGATTATCAGCTGGTTGCTTAGAAACCCCAGCCTCTTCATCCATCAACAGCATCTGAGGACGAGTGGCAGGCTGCTGGCGTAGGAATCAGAAAGAAGGTAAGCTTCATGGTGGACAAAAGGCAATAAAAGACAGGGGGAGATGAGTGCAGCCTTTGAGCATTTTCTAGACCAGTTTTAGCGAGGGGGTTCAGGGTAGGGCCAGTAATTATTTTTTTAATAGAGCCACTGGTAAGGGCTGTATCTTTTTCTTACAGTGTTCAGTGAAAATATCGCAATGCATCGCAATATTTCAAGTATCATGATGCCTTGTGATAGAATCACATCGTGGCATGTGAATCTTGTTTCGAATCGAATCGTGACTTCTTTGCAGATACCCACCCCTAGTTGGAAATAGCATTTTCATTGTACTACTTTAATAAAGGTCTTTGCATACTACAATAATCAGTTTGGGTAGTGCTATGAAAGAGGAAAAAACAATAAAAGATGTTTCTGCAGTCTATTTTGAACGATGTATTAGCAGATGTTTAGTGGCAACTGTTCAAATTCTATAAAACTAATGTAAATGCATAAAAAAGGATGTCCATGAAGTAGGATGTGCAGTTTTTCAAGCTGTTCTGTTTTATGACCTGAAATTTACGCTGCGTTTTATGGTTTTCCAAAGATTTCCACTGCAGAATATGTTTGGAAATATAACTGCTGTCATTTAGTGCATTAAGTGAAGGGAGAGGAGAGAAGCAAAGGATTACGGACCATGACACGGTAGTTGGGGAGTTTTTTCCCCCTGAGCCGCATTGGAAATTTTACAACTCAAGTGGAATTGCTTGCTTTAAGTAGTGTGTAGAACAGGTAGCTTTACAACACAGGATGGACACCATTGAGAGGTGCCTGGCAGCCTGAGGGCGAGCAGTTAATGAGAGACGGTACATAAAGTACACAGTAATATAATCAGAACTCAGTCAAACGCAGGACTCACAACACACCAGCTGCTTAATGCACCTGCTTATCAGACCTAAAAATTTTCTTTAAAAAAGACCAACCTTTTGACATTAATTTAGAAACATTTGCTCCAAAAATATGATCATGTAAACAGGGTATTTTACATTTAACAATATTAAGATATAAAATATTAATTCCCAGATAAGTTTCAAGAAAAGATTCGCTGTTGAATAAAAAAGCACATCTATGATTTTGCCATTTTTTTTACAAATCCATTACTGTAAAATCAGCAGATGCAGATCATTTATATTGTAAAAACTGTACTGTTATTTCTTAACTGTTATTTTATATACTTTCTAAGGTCCACATCGTATGACCACTTGTAATATAACTCTTTGCTGCTGTAACAGTTTCCCTACTGTGGGACAATAAAGGGATTTTATATTCTTTTCTAAATTAGCAATACTTAATGGATAATTCCACTTTCCTAATCGGGCTAAAGTTAGGATGAAAAAGTTAATTCATCCCAATTTCAAAATAAAATACCAACAAAATGTTATGGTAATATTCTAATAATATTCTAATTTTTAAACTAAATGTCAGAATCTAATTCCAACATTGCATGTTTGCTGATGTTGTTTCTAAATAAGCAACTTTATTTAAATGCTTAAGTCGGCTGATGCTTTTTTTAGACCTCTTCTATTATTAATTTAAAATGAAATTAACTAGTACTTACAGTTAAACAGTGTAACCCATACCTGGATCTGGTAAAACCGCAGCACAATATACCCCTGCGCTACTGTCAACACGCACGCGTCACCAAGATTGTCAGCAGTGATGGCAGCAGAGCAACTCGGCGCAAGAACTTCCCAATGCTGGTCTGATCAATCAGTCAAGCATCAAATCCTTCAGTCCTCTTAACAATGTTGTCTCATAAGCATTGTATTAGAAACATTAAATGTTAATAAGATGAGAAAGTGGAAACATGAGAAAATATTGACAAAGGATGAAATAAGGTGTCCTGCATTTATAAAATCCATCTAATCCATGGCTTCTTACGAACTTTTCACAAGGATCTTTTTCTTTTTTTTACTGTTTTGAAAGTTATGTGTTATAAAATGTAAGTTTGTCTTGTTTGATTGCATCTTTTAAGTTCAACATTTTATGTATATTTTTCTATATTTGCGATCTTTATTTTACATTCCAAAGAAACTTGCAGACTCTTCTCTTGGAGAGCTTTGTGCAATTTTTCCACATTCTGAGGCTATGCATCTCGCTCGACCAAACAGTGGCTGACCATTTCAAACCATGGATATTGCTTCCTCTCAAAGATGGAAAGTAAAAAGAAATGCAATCCAAACTAAAAAAAAAAAAACAAAGAAGCATTTTAGGTTTTATAGAGAATCATATTGATACAACAGGGGATGTGACTGGGTGGATGTGAAGCCAAGTTAACCAGCAGTGACAAACACGACAACATACGTAGCTGCTCATGACTTCCTTCTAGCTGTGAATACAAATCTAAAAAAAAAAAAAAAAAAAAATTTAAAACACACTACGATAACATCCAGAAGAATTTCTAACATTTGGATAATTTTGTCTTTTTTTTTTTAAAGCATTTTTATGCATGGTGAAAAATAAAATAAAAAAAAGAATGAATGTACATAGCTGTAAACAAAAACATTTGAACAGTAAAATGACACAAATACCATCACAAAAAAGTTTAGGGGTAATATCAGATTTTTTTTTTTTCTTAAAATAGCAGGGACATGAGGAAGTCTGATAAGCAATACTGTTTAATGGAACATTTTAATAACAGCAGGAAAAGTCTTGACAGCATCCGCCCAGTCAGCATCAAACACATCAACAGAACATGAAACAGAGAAGACTATTTACAAGTGATTTTTTTTTCTTTCCTTTTCCTGTTAAAATGATAACTACCTAACGTGTTAAACATCATCACAATGCGACACGAAGCAACGATCCACAGCTGACGATGCAGATGTTCTGATGTAGTGTGCTCGTGGTATATGCAAGAGAGTACATGGGTGTAACAGTAGGAGCGTCGGCATATGAAAAGTTTAAAAAGTTTAATGTCCACATGTTCTTCCCTCCTTGATTTCAGAGACATGTCACCTTTTTATAACAGCTCATCTTCTTCTTCCTGCTGTCTTCTTACGACCCTGTAGACAGGAAAAAATAAACCAAAAAAAAAAAAGAATATTATGGTCTGTGTCTATACAACAATCCTATATATTTTACTACCAATACAAAATGAAGCATATTTCTTTACTAAGACCTCCTGATGCATGCAAAGCTTTTGGCTATGTCAGAGTCTATGAACATGTTTTGGTACAGCTCCCCCGGTGGCTGTGTTCATTTTATGAACCAATTACGACTAACCCAGGGGTCAGCAACCTAAACTGCTCAAAGAGCCATATTGGACCAAAAAAAACAGAAACAAAACATAAATCTGTCTGGAGCAGCAAAAATGTAAATGTCTTATATAAGCCTCGTATGGCAACACAGGCTCTAAGTGTATTAGACCACTATAAACAAAGGTTACTGATACTGATGTTACTGAAAATTGATCCAGAGGGGGTTGATGTCAGGATTTGAAAACGTACCCTTGGTGCTGGCTCATCCTCTTGCTCTTCCTCGTCTTCCTCTTCTTCCTCCTCCTCCTCCGAGTCATCTTTAGCAGCAGCAGCTTTCGATCTTCCGGCACGCCTGAAAAAAACCCCACAGTTGTAACACATGATGCACAGATAGTTTAAGGGAGAGTTAGCTAATGCAGAGTGTGTCCAATGTAAGTGCTTAACATTTTCCACATTTCATCATATTAAACAACATTTTTTTAATATATATATATATATATATATACTTTATATTTATGGGAAAAAAACACCAGCACCAAGTATCTCAACTGCAAAGAGGAAGGCACATATAATAAGGTCTACTTAACGTTGGTATCTCTAAATAAAACCTAGTATAACCAATTACTTAAAGACGTCTTTTGTATAATTTGATTTAGACGTCAGGTTTTAACATGAAAATAAGCTGAATCATGGAAGCCAAGGACCGCAGCAGACTAGCGAATTTTAAAAGCAGGGTTTGCTTTGAAAACCTCACAACAAAGCTTTGAAAATGTCTGAGCAATGCTCCGTTAATAAATTACAGGCATAGACTGTCAAGGTGGAAGACCACAGCAATAAGAAAAAAATCTGACATTTGTAGCAAGAAAAAAAGGTTCTATTTCCACAGAGGAAACAAGCAGAAGCTTTTGCTTGATTTGTCCTGAAACTGCATGTTAACCAACTGGAAGCTGGAGCAGAGGTTCAACCTAATAATTGGACTTAGCATTAGCCATTTTGCTAAGAACTTATTTTAGTCACTAGAAATGCAAAACAGAGGAAATATTAAAGGTTTGATTGGCGGATTGACTCCGGGAAGAGTTCATGTAGGATTTTTTATTTTGAAGCATTTCATAATTACACCATATTAATAAGAAAAGAAGGAAAATAAAGTACTTCTTGTAAGGTAGTGGAGGAGGTCTATCAAGATTTGGTGTCATGTACAGACAGAAATATCTGCCAAAAAGTCCATTTAATCTGTTAACATCTCACCCAGCAGAAGTTAAATAAAGAGTTCAGTCCATAGTTACCCACTGAAACAGACACTGATACATCAGCAGACCTGTCTTTTTC